AGCTGCCGGCTGGGGTTAAACCACAACAAAGACCCATCACATGAGGAAACGACCAAAAACCCAAGAGACAAATGTCATATCCAAGAGCAATGAATTGGTGTTGCTGTTACAAAATCTGCTAACTGGGACTTAAAAATGAATTGCTAGGAAGGCTGTTCAGTTCAGGAGCTTAGTAGTTCCAGTTCACAGTAGCCACGATGACCAGAGTTAAAGAACTGTTTTGAAAAGAAAGTCTTTGAGTGAACCTGTGAGTCTGGGGATGCTTTCTTCCCCTCAAGACTGTAATTCTTATTACCTTTTTGAAAAAAGAGGCAAGGTTTAGGGTACTAAACATGCTGCTGCCTTTTCCAGCTGAGCAAAGACCAGCCACTGTCCAGAAAGAAGGAGGAATGATGGAGTGGGAGACAGCAAGTGAGGAACTGACTTTAAAAATTATGATTTGCAGAGACTGAGTGCAGATTTCAGGGTAGCTGCTTCCATACTAATACTAGAGGATTTTAAATGGCTTCTCAGTCAGGGACTGTTTAAGCGCACAGGGTATTTTGCTGGGGCGTCACCAATGGAGGAACCAAAATGCCAGGCTACGAAAAGGGAAAACTCTCCAGCATTTAGCATGTATTTTCCATTGTATTTGTTGTGTGGAAGCCCAGGCCCACGTTTTGCTACTATGAACCCACAGAGTGATTAGGTATAGTCATTTAAATGAAACATGATGTGGGTTAGCCCAACTGCTGATAATATTAAGATCTGGGAAGCAGCACTGGCGATGGAGTGAGTACAGAAAGGGTACAAGTACATGAAAAAAGAATATTATTCTTTTCCTATCTCTACAGATAACTGATGTTGGAAGGTACTGATTTTGGCAGGTAGTGCTTGTGGGGAGTTTCATACTTGGTAGAGAGCAAGCTTATCAAGCATACTTCAAGAACTAAAATCAGTCATCCAGAGCTCTCTGCAGATTTATTAAAATATTATGCTAAATGTTGGGAGTGTTATACAGTATTTATAGCTTAGGATGAGATTGTGTTAAGAATCAAGAATCTCTGTGTAAACTTAAAGAAAAAATAATTGTCTAGTTTATTTGGAGTGAAAGTGGATTTTAGGACATTCATGTAACTGGAGCCTTGCACAGAATCTGGAAGGAAGAGGAAAGAGCTCATTCAGAAACTAGGTTAAAAATAATTTATTAGTCCTTGAGGATTTAATTTCTTCAGAAGCAAGTGAAATTTTAGAATTATGTGTGTTTGATGTAGTAGCAGTTTATTCAGCAGAAAGATACCTTTTGAGTTGTACAGACCCCTGGGATATTTCATAATCCATTTCCAAGGAATTGCTCCAAACTAACCCCATAATGCAGCAGTGACAAGTAAAAACTATTTTTACCAGCTTCATGCTTGTGGAGATTGATTGGAAGGTTCTTGCACATTCCCAGTTCTCACTTGATTCCCAACTACATATCATACAGTGAAGTAGCAGACTAAAATTCTTCTGCTTCTGGATGGAAGAGGTTTTAGTTTCAAGACAATACAGCCAGGAGGGTAAATAGACTCGTACCCCATCCCTTGCTGTGTTCTCAAGCATTGTTTGTATTTAACTTGTTCAGCAAGTCACAATGGGTAGTCCTGTCCTGAAGATCTCCAGCCAGACTTCCACTTGGAAGTCTTTATGAACAATGTGTTTCTTTTCACTGATGTCATCAGCATTGTGCTTGTATATGAAGTCAATGTCATGTTCAAAACCAGTGCCAGGTCAGCAACTTTGAAAAGTCAACCTCTGCCTTCAAGTACAGAAAATACACTGCAACAGTGACAGCAGTGTCTGTGGAGCACACTAAAAAGTAATAGATGCTAAAAGGAGAAAAAGATCTGTTGTTTATCTAGTAGAGTGTTGCTTTTTTCTCTGAGTTCAGCCTGTTGGGATTGCTGCAAGATCCTGCTACTGGCTCTGAGCTGAATGGCGAGGTGCTTCAGAGCAGGAAGAGAAAAGGTGGGGAGAGGGCAGACCTCTCCTCCTGCCCACCACCCATTCAATCCCAGCCTGTGAGAGGGAGGAACTTCTGAAAGTGGCGTGTGGAACTGGTTAAAAATCATGTACCAAAGAGAGCTCTACTGGAAAATGTCAGCAGTGAGAGATCTTGACCTGCTAACTTGCCTGGCCATAGGTTCTTTTCCCTTGTTTACCTTGTCACTCTGCCAAGTGTTAATCAGACGGTTTGGAAGGAGGTTTGGACTGAGACAGTGTGCTGGAGTTTTGCTAGAAACCTCCACTTGAACTTCTAGGTCCAGCGCGTCCCCTTCCTGGATGTATTATCTCACTAGTAACACACTGAGCTTGGTCCTTCCAAGAAAGACCACCTCAGTGAGAAAGGATAAGTCATTCTCCTGACAGATTCAGTTCTCCGTGTCTGTTGCCAGCTGAGATCTATTTTTTCCAGTGTAGACATAAGCGAGCAGATTAGGATCACACTAAGGCATGTGTTATTTAGTTTTCCTAGTTGATTATGGTTTTAGCTGTATACTGTGGGTCTTATCTGTTGTATTTTTCCAATGCAGTGAAAAGAAACAGCTCTGGCAATCTCAATATTTGTTATCAATATTGACATTTTATTGGTGCCCCAACAGGCCAATTGAATTGGACTGGTGATTTCAAGATTAAGGAGGCCACATTATTTTATCAGTCCCCTATAGTACATAATCTCAGATAATTTATTAGAATTTTGCTCTCTTACATATTTGCATAAATATAGGAGTTTGGAAAAAAACAGCCCTAAACACTGATTATTCTCAGCACTCATCACTGTTTTATTTTAAGTAGTTCACAGCACTGGTTTCTATTTTTATTTCAGCTAGTTTGAACATCTTTTATTTTGAGTTTGTTTTATCAACTGGGACTTAAACAACTAGTGTCTGGCTTCTGAGTGCTCAGGAAGTAGTTGGACTTGTGCAAAATAATATAAAAAAAACAAAGACTCAGCGTGTTTTTTTCTTTTTTTTTCAGTTATTTTTATAATACATGGATAGATTTCTTAACTTTGAGGGAAAATGCGGAAGCCATAGTAAAAATTACGCTGAGGAACTGCTAGCTTTCAGATGCTGTGAACGTGCTGTTATTCTACTACTGGGTAGACTTCTGCTCTTATGGTGTGTCCTGAAGTGATGCATAAAACTTACAGCTACTCACTCCATCCCACTCTGATTAGGATACAAAAAATACCTAAGCTGTCACTGGGAAAGTCACTATTCTCAAGTACAGCTTCATCCATATTTGCTTTCTGGCTTCACATGTTATCATGTGAAGGCCACATGTTTACAGCTCTGAGGGCAAAATTCCAATGGAATTAAATGGAATTTTTGCCAGTTGAGTAAATTAAATATTTTTATTTCCAATGCTAGTTTAATCTGGACAAAAAAAATCACCTTGTGTTATTATACATGATGGTTACAACTGAGTATCTTTGAAAGAGGACATTTTTGGTAGCAGTTTAATTTTTCTTAATTGCAATATGCAGTTCTCCTCAAAGGACAGTATTCTCTTAAAGACAAAAAAAAAAATATAAGCAATGCGTAAGATTTCCTTTTGTGCCGAAACCATGGAGATTTAATTTTCTTTGCTAAAGAATGTGTTCATGATCTTGGTTTTGTTTTTTAATAACTGATGCTATCAGAGTTATCTTTAGCAGACCATTGGAAAGAGTTGATTTCAGTTGCTTGTGATCTCCATGGGGCTGAACCCAAGCCATTGCTTATTTTGGATGGGGACAAGACAAAAGTAAGTAGTTAGTGTGAAGGGGGAAAGACAGTTTGATGGTATTGCTGAAGTATGTCCAGAGCACAAATATGAAAACCCTTACTAGAATTTGAAGCCACTCTAACTCAAATGACAAACTCTGATACACGCTTTTATCCCTGACAGTGATTAACAATTGCAGTCACTTACACAGAGCGTGATGTCTTGTCTGGCTGACTCGCTGTAAGCTACGGTCTGACGAAATGCAAAGATGACCTTGACTGAAAGTGAAATGGGTGAATTCAGAATGTTCTGTCATTTGTAGGAGGGAGCTGCTAACTATGGCCAAGCAGCCTGTGAATCTGTTAACTTACTCTCGTTAAAGAACTTTGCTGGAATGTCCGTTAGGGGAGCTCATGGAATGCTCGATTTTAACTCCTGTGAATCTTGCCTTAGGAGTAGGGTATTCTTGCTTCAGTGTTTATGTTCTCTTTCACTTGGGTAAACTTTACTGGAAAACAGACCAAAAGAAACCTGAAGCAGAATTTGTATCTTGGCCTTCAGTATGTTTGCTTTAGGAACTTGAGATCCATGTGATTTCAAAGAAGGTTTGTCCTGTGCAAGAGCTTCATAACATGTTCCAGAAAGAAGATTTTATGCTTAGCCTGAGTAGATTTGTTCCATGTTTATAATTTTTTACTGCAGTTTCTCCTGTGACCATCACATATGGGGGTGTGCTCTTGTGCGTGTAAAGAATAATAATTGAGTGCATGGAAGGCTGTGATTTGAAAACATTGTGGCCATTGTCTTTGAAGTCATAATTTAATGTTATCATAGAGTAGGATAAGCAATGATCCTTGTACTAAACATCTGTGTAGATTCCAGATGGTTATTGTGGGCCAGTCTTCCTACAATTAAAGCAATCCACACATACAGACTTTGCCTTTTGCGAATGGCAAGCATTTCCTTACAGGGCATGGATGGTAAGGGACAATTTAGAGGAATTTCCCTTGTTAAAAACCCCACAACAGAAGTAGTGAATCGCAACACAGGAGTCTCTCCAGGTGTTTGAAGCAATTCAGGGCTAAGCAGATTTTATATATCTGGAAACTGCATCTGGAATGCAGGACAAGAGGTTTGCATGAGAAATGTGTCTTTAAGATGGGTGGAACTCAGTTGTTGATCACAGATTACATGTTTTTTTGGCAGGTTCCCCCAAGAATAAAAGTGTAGGTTAGAGCCTGTATCTGCAACCTGGGACTGCTTCCTACACACGCTACACAATGTGATAATTTATCAAGGGTTCTGAATAGCAGTTCTGACTGACACTGCAATCTGTGCCAACCACATGCTGGATTGCAAACAGGAGGGTCATACACGCCTTGAAAGTCTCTGGGAGCAGGAATCCTATCTATGATGTTGCTAAGAATCCCACAGGCAAAGATGTTGGCAAATTTCAGGATTCCAAGTAATTTAAACACCTAAGACCCACTGACCTTCAGTGAGATTTAGGAGCTAGGGCTACCAAAGACTATAGATATAAAATTCCTGAAACTTACCTTTTGGATGCTTTATAATCTAGAAGTCTAAAAGTCTGCACAAGCCCCATAGATAGCTCATATAACCATTAAGGGTAGCAGCTGTTTTCTTTCTACTTTGTTTTTATGAAGGTGCTCTGTATTGGCTTTGACTCTGAAAGTGTGGAAGCTGTGAAGCCGTGAGAGCAATTACCAGTGCTGGGAGGTCTGGAAAATGGGGCGAAAGTCCCACAAACCAGCCTGGATTTTGTGTCTTTGAACCATCCAAATGAAACACAGACTTTATGAGAGTTTCCAAGTCGCCGATGGAAACTCAGGGTCTGGAATTCGTAGTTTTGACACCTACTTTAGCTCAACACCACTTATTGTGATCACTGCATATAGAAAGTGTTTTTATAGGAAGCCATAGCGGCAGTGCAGAAGGAGATGGCAAGCTGCGAGAAGGTAATACCTTCTCTGGATTACTAGATCTGTGATCTCCATGGATCAGATCCAATGACAGAAATTCAGGGCCATGAACAAATGTGGGACCACAACTCAAAGGCTGTGCGTGGTGGAACATCAGAGTTTTGTGGCTGCGAACCTCTTAGATTGGGCTTCATTCAGGGTACAGATTTTGACTGTGCTGAAATGCCTTTCTTGCACTTAAGCAAGGCTCTGCAATAACCTATGATAACTCTCTCCATTTATGCGTAGAACCATCTTATGGTGAACCACTGTTTGGTGGGTGAATGTTTGAAGGAAAATTGGCTGTGCATTAAAAATTTGACTCCCTGGGACACACAGTAATTTATAGACAGCTTTTTGAGGCTCTGAGGATTCTTCTGACTTACAATAGTTGTACCTTGGTCTAGTCCAAAGGCAGATTTCCAGCAGGAAGTGCAGCCTGGAAACTGGCCGATGCCTCCGCATACCACCTC